ACTATTAAATTTAAATATGTTTTCCAATGATAAATCACGTACCTATCCTTTACGCCAAGAGTTCAATCTATAAGTTTTATTGACTTTCATTCGTATATTACCTCACATTCACATTCTGAACGAGAGTTATGTGCAAAATTATCTATACATCTGTTATGCATATGTATGCATATCCTAGTTGGTTGCCTTAGTTCCAGCCTAAGATTATAGCCCAATAGAAAATATTCGAAATCTAGTGTCATTTTGTTCCTTGTTAAGTTACTAAATTGAAGTTCTCACATGGAATAATTTTTTTGCTTGGGTTCTTACAACATGCTTTGATGACACTTTCTAAAGTGTCGTAAAACATTTGCAGATTATTTGAATACGGTGGGCGGTATAAACATATTATGATTAATTGTATGTTAATTATTTCAATAGCACAACATTCCAGGACGCCCGTGATTAAATATCGCGCAATGTCTGCTAGCTCCATATACATACTGTAGATTTATTTTGACTAGAATGCAGGCTCCTCCTCTCTTATTTGTCTTCTTTGCGTAACATGCTGCGAGCTTATAGTGTTGTATCTTTAACAGTTTTTCTTAACCAAGCAAAATAAAAAAGCTCAATGTTGCACACAACCTCTGTATCTGCTTGTTTATAAGATAGGTCCTGATTCTGTCGATAATGTCTGATTTGTTTAAAAGTCATGCAATATTTCTATGTAATATTTGCACTTTATCATAGAAGTAAAATCTCATCGCTTCTTCTCGTATAGCTATCTTTAGTTACTACCACATGCATAATATCATGTGGTGGGACTGCAAGTTTTGGAATATGTTCCTGGTACCATTGTTATTTTGGCCTTCCAGTGCACTCTGAGAACATGGAGTAGTCGTTCGATAATGTCAAGTTAGATTCCAGCAAAATAGCATAGCTATGAGTCTGAATATCCAAATAAAACTTATTATTAAATGTTTCTACTCTCCAATTAAACATTGCTGAGTAATTATTACATTTGTAGGTGGTCTTTAGGGTTATTTTCTTTCACAATTACAATCGTTCTTGTCGGATTAATTTTTGTCAACAAAAAACTATAAAGTTATAACATATATTGAGTAAACATTTTAGTTCTCTCTACTTCTTCTACATATCATTTTTTCATATATCTGACTTACTTATGTAAAATATCTGGCAAATGCATTCGTCGTGGCCAAATCATGGAATTGAACATTATTATGATGACATTGTTCAAATCAAGATATTTATATTTTTATTTATTAAGCCACCAACGGCTAGTACATCATTACAATACCTATACCTAGTTAAAAACGTATAGATATTGGAACTACACATCTCGCCCCTTACAGGTAGGCACAACATGGTCTGACCAGATCAAAGAAAATCATCAATATTAATGAATATATATTATCAACTTCTATCTCATTATTATTATATAATAATATCATAATATATACTATCATATAATAATGAAATAGAAGTTGATAATAATCAGCGTTTAATGATGTTAACAGCTAAACGCACAACCACTTCATGAAATGGTCAATTCATTAGTGATTAGGTATATCGTAAAATAGTTACAGTAATCCACTGTCAGAGCGGCGGCGGACAGTTATTGTTTTAAAGTTAATTAACATATGCAAATAAGGGAAAAAGTGTCGTGGTCTGCTGCAAAGCCACCCTAATAAAAACCGTTCAATTGTACCTATCTTAGATTGACGTACGTCAAACGTACATAATCTACGTAGGGCCCTTATCGCTGTACGGACACTAGGTAACAAAATAATGAGCAATGATTGTGGGCTCTATTGTGGAGCATACTCCCTAGCAGAGCCACTTAAAACACGTACTCAGGACAGATAGAAGCTACTGCATTTTTATGAAAACTGATGTACGATTATACTGTTCATTGCGTACGTGTTATAAAATTTCATTATTAAGATGTGGTTTTGATTATTTCGAGCGAAGCGAAACATCGTTGCAATTTCTTACTTTTTATATTTTTATTTTTATCTAATAACGATTACAAACGACCTACTTAAACCGTGAACATACCGTACTTAAACCGTGTGAATTAAAATACACCTTATATACATAGGCTTGTCAACATTTGAATACATATCAGTAGATGGGAATTCACTACAACGTCATTCTTAACTAGTACAGCCTTACGAGCCATAGCGTTGTAACTCTCCCATTCAGAGGTACGACGATCACAGTGAGTCTTAAAATGAGCTACACCTCCAAACAAATTGTTTAACGTTATAAGGGGGCAAACGGGTAACGTGATTATAAATGACTACCACTGACACTGACTGATTATAAATGCCATGGACACTGACAACTCAACGAGTAACAATCACGCACTTGTGATTTTTTATTAAAAGGGGATTGGAATAGGGGCTCGTTTGCTCCAATGCCTTAAAGAAAACGGCGTGAGGGTCTATGGACCTTCTGCCGGAACGAAGTTCCTCTCGGTTTTTGGTAAACGTTTATTATAGTGTCCGCAAAAAGTCTTGTTACACATTTTTCGGGCTCACTCTCAAAATTCGTTCCAAAAAGTTATTAAAGACATCATTAAATTATTAATTCTATGATCTGGTCACGACAAATGCAAAGAAATATGTTTTTGTATTAATATATAGAAAAAGTGGCCCGTCTGTCCGGCCCGTCCGCGCTGTGTTGAATCACAATGACAATGACAGTCATTTTAATTCGTCAAGTGCGAGATTTTATTTTATTAGAGAAACATAAAAAAAAAACATTGTAACGATTAAACTTTAAGCACTTGGTGATAACTACTAAAGTTCTTAACGTAGGTATAATTTTCGTTTTTTTTTTAATAACGAGACTTGGCGATTACTCGCTAGGTGAATAAAAGCTTTAAGACTGGGTTTGAATTTCGTTTAACACAATTTTATTCAAAAACAATAGCGTTGAACGGAATTCCTACGTTAATTGATATTTCTTTTATTAGAATTTTTACCTAAGACTACACATCCATGATACCACGACCAATGCCGTGACCATGCGTAGAAAAATAAATAACCAAATACATAATTAGTGTCTTATTAAAATGTTTTAGATGTTCAGTTAAAAAACTTTTTGAATGTTTTTTTTTTTTGTATTTTTATAGCATTTTGTTTGGATACCAAATTTTTTATGGCTATTTTTTTTGGGCCAGTTATAATTTAGCAAATTATAACTATTGATTGTAGATCTTAAAATGTGCTTAATTTTTTTGGAATTATTGGTCAAGTTTTCGAAAGGATTTAAAAGAATTGTCCTTATAACAGATTATATCAGAGGAAGAATTCAACATAATATAATACTACTAAATATCTGTATTTCTTTCTATAAAGATCAAGAAAGCTTCTATCAGAACACAACCGAAAGCATCCGATTTTATCATCAGTTCTTGAAAGGAGCAAAATCAAATAATTACACAGCAATAAAACCCTTTTACGATGATATTTTAGACATCTATGTATCTCAGGGGAGTCTTACGTTTGTCAGTCACCTTAGTAGTATGCAAATCTACATCGATCTAATTGTAAGTCTTTAGTTCTAAGTATCTGTCACAGAACACTTTGTGGTTATTCGACGGTTAGATACCGATATAGAGATTGAGGTGGAAACTGAGGATATTCTAAAGATTAAAGAGGTTTCACACTCGTCTAGGTTACAAATTATCAATTTAAGGAATAAATACTTAGGTGAGTTTTCATGAAAGGTATCTGTTATACATATCATCATAATAAATAGATATAGAGCAAATCAGACACCGCGCCATTGGCATTTTCGGTAATCTATGGTACAGGAATTTCGTTGGGTTTTAAAAAAAAAAAAAATCTTATGAACGTTCTATTTACCCTTTCTCGTTGTAAAAAAAAACGAGTCTCATATTCAAACAAGACAAAACATTAAAATTTACTTTACTAAAAAACGATAGAATACTTTTACCACTCAAAATGGAAGAGTTAGGCTCTTGTTTTTTTTTAATTATTTTTTAACATTGCCTCACGAAGTTAGCAACACCATGGAACACGCTCAAAATTTATAAATAGCGCCGAAGAGTTATTGATTTTTATTCTCAGTAAAAGCAAAGGAACTGTGGCCGATGAAACTTAACATGGTTTACTTTTCACAAATGTATGTTCTTTAAGACGCAACGCCACGTAAAGTACAACTAAAAAATTAAGTATAACCTGACCATATAACGGTAAACTATTTTCTTTAAAAAGCTGAGACAACATGATCACCATTTAATATGTAAATTTAAAAAAACAGTTCTCTTTTCACTCAAATAATTTCAAAACTCAGTTAGACTTACCTGTAAATTCAGTTGTTGCCTTAGTTACAACGAGGAGTCTGCATCACGCCAGAGCTACCGGCAAACTGAATTCAAGGGCAAGCCTCCATTAGGAATATGAACAAGTACAACAAGCAAATATAAACCTTATGTGTAAACAAATAACAATCATATAAGGAAATCAGTTTTAAGAAATGTAATTTTTGAGGCATATCAATGACGTGAACTCTATTGATACGTCATTTTATTGTAATTGGGGATAGATTATCAACTTTATCTGTTAATGCATAAATCAACATTCTTGTAGAATACTGTTTGTTTTAAAGCACAAAACATTTGAACTCGCCTTAAGACATAAACAGTCTTTGATCACTGCAATTAAAGAAAACTTATCATCACGCCTTTACTAACATGAAGGGTTAGGCAGTCATTTGCCGCAGACGTAAGAATAATAGTTAAGGTATTAGATAAGGATAAAAGAGATTGATAAGACGCGTAAGAGTTATCTTAATTTGAATTCTAAATGATAAAATCAATTTAATGTTATAAAAATAATTTATTTACTAACAAAAAAGGTACAAATATCACCCGTTTCCCCAGTCTACCGATTAAATCACATAAACTTTTTGGTAAATATTGGCAAAACATAAGAGTCCACTATCAAAATATAACCTTAAATAACCCATTACAATTTGCTTTTAGACTTTGAGCTTTCATGTTTAACTGGTATTACAGTGTCGTTTTTGACCACAGGTTTTCTAGGCACAGTGATAAATAACAAGCCATCAGAACTCAATCGGGAATTGATTTTGTCCATGAAACATCCCTCTGGAATAGGATATCTTCTTAAAAACTGTCTAGCGACATAACCAATATCATCCTTCTTCTCCTCATGTTTACCTTCAACAACAATGCACCCATCAACAACTTTCACTGATATTTCTTTAGGTCCATATTGTTTAACTTGTAAACATATTTCATACTTATCTCGGTCCGTTCTCACAGTGTTTTCTTCACTCCAAGGAAAACTTTCGATCCAATCCAACGATTGTAACAAAGCATCGTCAACAAACACCTTGGGCTTGTATATAGTAGGTAACTCAAGCATTGTGACGAACTAAAATTCTAGAAATATCATGAATTAACACTAAGTTCGCGATTTATTACGTATCTGCGATTAACGCGATACATTCCGTGTCCCACTTTTGGGTAAATTACTATTGTCATATTGTCACTCAATTGTCATATAGTTCGTTACATTTAAATGTAGATGTCGCTTTCAACAATTCGCGTCTTTGTATTAGGTTATAATTTTTATAAGCCATCGATCTAAATAATATAACTTTTAAACAAGTTTTAAAATATATGTTTTACCTTATTTATACAGAATTTGGTATACTTGTTCACTTCATTTTAAATCTATTACAGATAGGAGCGTAAACATATGATTTCATTTTAGATATTAAAAATATACGTATATAAGCAACTAAAACAATGGAAGTGTATTTTTAATAATTTCCACAATACCTTGGTAATTTTGTATGGGTATATAAAAATAATTCTCTTTTATTTTTCATGTTGAATACCTAACTAACTTCTCTACCAACATATTATAATGTCAATAAATCATCCTATTTATACGTGATTTTATTTATTAGGTACTAATTTTAGGTAGGTAGTTAAATATAGAACTAAATATTAGGTTTTCTTAAATATCATTTACATAATTTTAAGAAACACGATTCTAAGTAATGACACTATTTGGCAACTTTATAAGGTCAAAAATATATTTTATAAGTCAATGGAGACGAAAAAAAAACAATGTTTACGTTAACGTTATCGCCTCTGCATTATCTATGAACTCAATTCTTATTACTCTGTATTTTTCTGTAGAATACAAAAATGTCCACAAGTAAAGTAGCAATAGTAACAGGTGCTAATAAGGGACTAGGATTTGCAATTGCAAAACTTCTTTGCGAAAAATACGAAGGACAAGTTTATCTTACATCCAGGGATAATCAAAGAGGAATAAAAGCTTATGAAGAACTGAGGAAAGTTGGCCTCAATCCACTATATCATCAACTTGACATTACAGATAACGAGAGTATAAAAGCATTCGTAAAGACAATCAAAGATAACAATGAAGAAGTAGATATATTAATTAACAATGCTGGTATACTTTTTATTAAATCTCCAGAACCGAAAGTCTACCAAGCGGAACAAACAATATTCGTCAATTTTGTCTCTTTAACAAATTTTACTGAAGCCATCCTGCCGTTTATGAGAAATGGCGCGAAAATTGTCAATGTTACCAGTTCATCAGGTCATTTATCCCGGATTCCGTCTAAAGAAATTAAAGAGCAATTTAGTTCTGAAGAGTTAACTTTGGAAGAATTAAAAAGCTTAACAAATAGTTACGTGGAGGATGTTAAGAAAGGTCAAGATATTGACAAAGGATGGGGTGACTCGCCTTATGTGATTTCAAAAGTAGCAGTGAATGCTTATACGTTTCTGTTGCATCGGAGATTATCGTCTAAAGGTAATTCTTGAATACACTGTACATAATTTTATACATCGTGGTACCAACGATTTAATAAGGAATTTGGGTTATAATGGAATATTTAGGCTCTCATTTAACACTAACTAATGTTACGAAACCAAGTCAGTTTATTTGTAACGCTTACATACCTTAATAATAATAATATTATTTACAATTCGATCGTTCATCAAGAGCACATTGTTGGAGACATAGAACAGAACACGGGGACTTTCGTCATTTGATGATTTTGTAAGCATTGTGTCATTTCATTTATCAGGTACGGTTAGTTAAAAAATGTGTACAAACTTACAAAAATGTATAGACCAATTTTATTTTGACTAACTTTTAAACTGACTACCAGGCACTGCAACTTAGGACCTATAAGGAGTGGTAATTCCCGTAAACACAATTATATATAACGTGTTTTGGTTGTAACACATTCGACACATGGTAACTATAGAATTCAAACAAAAGCATTCCCCGCGAAAAAAAAAGTTAAGTTGCAACAACAATTTCAAGCGTCATATGGGTTAATGTAAAAACATTAAGGGCTGTACACACACACAAATACAAATCCCTCAATGTATAAGACTTCGTTAAGTCTTTTTCTTCCCTTTCGTCTCTAATTGTCCATACTAAATATCAAATTACTAAGTTACATATAATACCCATAATAAGGCCCCTGATAACTCTACCTACTTTCTTTTCTTTTTTTCTTTTCTTTCTAGGTATAATAGTAAACTGCGTGCACCCGGGCTACGTAAAGTCAGATATGACTTTTGGCGCTGGCACCTTGAGCCCATCAGACGCGGCATCAGTACCTGTATCTTTGGCTTTGGAGGCCACTTTTGGCGGCCGATACGTATGGCATAACGGTCAGGATGTGCCCTGGAATGGTGAAGATCCGCGAAAGTACATAGACGGTAAAAAAGTATAACATGCGTGTTCTTTATCCGATTATAATATCAACAATAAGTAGGTTTTCTTTCATTTTCTATGAAGTTTTTAATGTTAACCAATGTATTTTCAAAAACCATGGAAGCATGTGCTCTACCCGAAGAAAAACTAATATCAGGCTTATTTTATGGACTATGAACTTTTCTTGAGTAACCTCTCCGAAAATTTCCATCTGTCATGTTGGTGTGTAATGTTAAACGGCGTTTACTATTCATATAATATTACCATTCATTAATTACGTAAGGGTTCCCAGGGGGAGGGGAGGTTAAGAAAATCTATACATGCCCTTATCCTTAAAGAAAGGGTGGTAAACCCATTCTTACGTTATAATAGGTCTTTACCTATGAAATTGAAGTTTTGTATGCAATAAGTGAAAGCACTTATTTTTTCAAATTTTCCCTTTTTGTAAAAATCAGCTGGACGGGAGGCAACAAACTCTTCAAAGACATTTTGTACTACTGCCTCTCGGGTTGAATTTTTTACCCACTAAAAAGTTGTCTAAATTTTGGAAAAAGTAATAGTCGGTGGGTACAAGGTCAAGCCATCAATAAACTGCCAATGCGTTGGCAAAGATGCGTCGATTGCATGGGTGATTACTTCGAATAACAGAAATAAAAAAGTTTGAAAAAATAAGTACATTCACTTATTGCATACAAAACGACAATTTCATAGGTAAAGACCTAATATTTTACAAGTCTAAATTTATTATTAAAAATCTTTTCTATTTCGGATGCTGAACGATTTTTTTCATTTCATAATGTGCACTTCGATTTACATATTTTTATTGTTGATTAAAATTTTAAAATCTTAAATATGTTCATTTTCATCATTTTAACGTGTCATAAGTAATTATTATATTATAGTGCAATCTCCCGCGTATTAGCTTTTACTGTGAAATTTATTTTCTTCAAGAGTAATTTAAAACTCGCCGATCATTATTTTAAAAGTGTTATTCGTTTAAAGATTGTTTAACGGATTTATGTTTGTTCACTTTAAGGTTATTTAAAAACTTACTTTTAATTATAATAATAATATTCCAAAGACTAGATAGTTATTTAATAATAAAAAGATAATCTATATCTGATAGCAATAACCTAAATTATCAGCTAAAAAATAAAAATCTTTGATTTACGTCAAACTAGTATTAATGTAACTCATCCTTTTTTAACAATTCTGAAAAACGAGATTGAATGTAAGATTCAATCTAGAGTAAGAAGAGGGAGTGGGTTTTGAAAAATCTTATGTCTCCTTACATGAGGGGAGGGGAGAAGGGGCATCCTTTACGTAATAAATGAATGGCCCCTTATACCTATCACGCCAATTGACTAAGAAGCAAATTGCCTATAACGCACTTTAGACTATCAACCGTCAATGACAAAAATCAGAATGCCTAGTATGTACAGTGACTATAGTTTTAGTTTGTCTAAAAGCAGAATGCCTAAATTATATGTTGTCTATAATTGAGATGGATGATCTGCAGTTTAGGTAGTATTGTGATCAGTAGAACTTTGGTTTATAATAATTAAACTAGCATTGAATGATTGCAACACAGAGCCTAAACAGTGAGTCTAAAACCATTAAATTTTGCAAAGGATTTTTACCTTATATACGAGGGGTGATCAATAAGTAATGATAATCGAGTATTTCTAGAACGCACAAAAACCCAAATTATTTTTTTTTCTGCTTGCTTATATATCCACTACTTCAGCTTCAAAAAAATGTATAAATAGGACACCATTACCGGGAGATACATTCATTTGAATACGAACTGTCGAAGAGAAAACATCAAAATGGAGAAAAATGAAATAAGAGCTGTCATCAAGTACCTCTGCCTGAAAAAAATGTCTACCAAAGACATACACAGCGACTTAGAGGAAACATTGGGGGAGTCTGCTCCTCCATATTCCACAGTCGCACGCTGGGCAAAGGAATTTAAGCTGGGCAGAACCTCCACTGAAGATGAACATCGCGAGGGACGCCCTTCCACGTCCCTTACTGGAGAAAACGTCAAAAAAGTGGAAGATATCGTGTTGGCCGATCGAAGGGTGACCGTAAGGCATGTAGCTGAGGTCACAGGGATCTCCTATGGCAGCGTTCAAAAAATCATTGTCAACAAAATGCATATGAAAAAGATCTCTGCGCGTTGGGTACCGAGAATGTTAACCGACGAGCAAAAAAAGAAACGAGTCGATATTTCGAGGGTGAATCTTCAAAAGTTCCAGGCCGATAAAGTTTTTTTTTTGTCGCGTTTTGTGACCATGGACGAGACCTGGATCCACCACTTTGATCCCGAAACCAAACAACAATCAATGACTTGGAAACGAGCTTCCTCACCAACGCCGAAGAAATTCAAAGTGTCAAGTTCAGCGGGAAAGGTTATGGCGTCTGTTTTCTGGGATGCAGAAGGAATTATTATGGTGGAATATTTGGAAAAGGGGGCCACTATAACAGGCTCTTACTACGCAGGCCAAATAAGAAGATTGCGAGAAGCTATTAAGTCAAAAAGACGCGGTAAACTGCGCGCTGGAGTGCTGTTTCACCAAGACAACGCCCCGGCTCACAAAGCCGCAGTTGCGATGGCTGCCATTGAAGAAACGGGGTTCGAACTGCTCGAACACCCTCCCTATTCGCCAGATCTAGCTCCCAGTGACTTCTACCTCTTTCCTCGGCTCAAAGAACACCTCCGGGGCAACAAATTTGAGGACAATAGTGAAGTGATGGCCGCAGTAGAGGCATTTTGGGAGGGTCAAGACAAAGAATTTTTTTCTAAGGGAATCATGGGCTTAGAAAAAAGATACACTAAATGTATTAACTTGCAAGGAGACTATGTTGAAAAATAAAATACTTTTTTTAATCTAATAGTTCTGTTTCATATTGATTATCATTACTTATTGATCACCCCTCGTACTTAACGTCAACATTTTTTGAAGGACGAAAGTTTCTAAGGAAACGTTAATTTTATTATTATTATTATTATTTGAAATAGGCATAGCCAATGGTTAATGCAATCGGACAGAATGATATGTTTACTGATTAAATAAGTCATTTAATATTGGATTGGATTTTGGATACATTGTTTTTTTTTATTTTGTCTTCAAAAAAAGTTCTATTGAAAAAAGAAAAAGAAACATTGTTTTTTTTCTGTTAAGTAACGTGTTATTATTACACGTTACTTAATAGAAACAACGTTACAACGTTGCTGCAGTGGCATCTTTTATTTTAGGTACTGTGCTCATAACTCGATTCAACTTTTGGTCACAATACCATCACGTTACATTCTACGTTGGATTTTTATTACTTTGCTACGAAAATATGTTTTATGACATGTTTGTGACCGTATTTTTAGGGTTCCGTACCTCAAAAGGTAAAAAAGGTACCCTTATAAGATCACTTTCTTGTCCGTCTGTCCGTGTGTCACCACCGATTTTATCAGGAACTTGCAAGTTTTATCTACGTAAAATCTGGGTAGGTACGAAACCCTCGGCGCACGAGTTCGACTCGTACCTGACCGGTTTTTTTATTACGAGAATTGACCTTCTGGCTTTTATTGATCACTACGATTATAGTTAAACCGCCGTAAGCTTGGCCCTCCTGATGGTTTGCGGGACGCGGGGCGGGTGATGCGTCGGCTATACATGACACGATGTACTAACTCGATATCTTCAGATTTATTTGTTTTAGATTTAATCTACACACCATTTAATAAAAATCAAATTTATTTCCATGTCTTATAATGTCAGTCTATTGTAAGTTTTTATGATTAATTGTAAAATTTAAAACTGTAAAATAATTTTAATAAAATCACCTTATCTTCATCATGTAAATTATATTCAGATACAATTTAAAAATCAAGTAAAATAATAAATATTTTTTATTAGAACTTTAATAGTAGAACCTCTAAGCCGAACTTCAAGTTTTTAAATGTTTTTGTGACGCAGAGTCGGCAGATTATCCATATTGCAAAATAATACCGTGTGTAGCAGTCTTAAGAAAAATAACACGTACAGCTATGCTTTCACGTCAGTCACTGCCGGCGGACAGCGACGCACTAGCTAATTGGTTGAATGCACCGCCGCCCCGCGTTCCCCAAATTATCAGGAGGGCCAAGCTTACGGCGGTTTAACTATAATAGGATGTTTTTAAAGAGAGTAGTACAAATGGGCTGGATGCTTTGGTGGAGACCCATGCACATTAGGGGAGCTTGTGTCCAACAAAATCCTGCTATAAACTGTTTGATTGATAATATTTTTATGAAATTGAGACTACCTTTTTGTGCAAAACTCAAAGCAATACCTCTTTTACAAAATTACATCTTTTATTTTTATTATATTATACCTATCCCAAGAGCATACTTTTATGAGATAGTGGCGTGTACGAGGGGTGATCAATAAGTAATGATAATCAATATGAAACAGAACTATTAGATTAAAAAAAGTATTTTATTTTTCAACATAGTCTCCTTGCAAGTTAATACATTTAGTGTATCTTTTTTCTAAGCCCATGATTCCCTTAGAAAAAAATTCTTTGTCTTGACCCTCCCAAAATGCCTCTACTGCGGCCATCACTTCACTATTGTCCTCAAATTTGTTGCCCCGGAGGTGTTCTTTGAGCCGAGGAAAGAGGTAGAAGTCACTGGGAGCTAGATCTGGCGAATAGGGAGGGTGTTCGAGCAGTTCGAACCCCGTTTCTTCAATGGCAGCCATCGCAACTGCGGCTTTGTGAGCCGGGGCGTTGTCTTGGTGAAACAGCACTCCAGCGCGCAGTTTACCGCGTCTTTTTGACTTAATAGCTTCTCGCAATCTTCTTATTTGGCCTGCGTAGTAAGAGCCTGTTATAGTGGCCCCCTTTTCCAAATATTCCACCATAATAATTCCTTCTGCATCCCAGAAAACAGACGCCATAACCTTTCCCGCTGAACTTGACACTTTGAATTTCTTCGGCGTTGGTGAGGAAGCTCGTTTCCAAGTCATTGATTGTTGTTTGGTTTCGGGATCAAAGTGGTGGATCCAGGTCTCGTCCATGGTCACAAAACGCGACAAAAAAATTCTTTATCGGCCTGGAACTTTTGAAGATTCACCCTCGAAATGTCGACTCGTTTCTTTTTTTGCTCGTCGGTTAACATTCTCGGTACCCAACGCGCAGAGACCTTTTTCCTATGCATTTTGTTGACAATTATTTTTTGAACGCTGCCATAGGAGATCCCTGTGACCTCAGCTACATGCCTTACGGTCACCCTTCGATCGGCCAACACGATATCTTCCACTTTTTTGACGTTTTCTCCAGTAAGGGACGTGGAAGGGCGTCCCTCGCGATGTTCATCTTCAGTGGAGGTTCTGCCCAGCTTAAATTCCTTTGCCCAGCGTGCGACTGTGGAATATGGAGGAGCAGACTCCCCCAATGTTTCCTCTAAGTCGCTGTGTATGTCTTTGGTAGACATTTTTTTCAGGCAGAGGTACTTGATGACAGCTCTTATTTCATTTTTCTCCATTTTGATGTTTTCTCTTCGACAGTTCGTATTCAAATGAATGTATCTCCCGGTAATGGTGTCCTATTTATACATTTTTTTGAAGCTGAAATAGTGGATATATAAGCAAGCAGAAAAAAAATAATTTGGGTTTTTGTGCGTTCTAGAAATACTCGATTATCATTACTTATTGATCACCCCTCGTATGTACCAATAAACATTAAACGTATTAGATAGCGTAATGTATTCTCTAATATGTACCTATAACACAATACGATGATGAAGAAATGGACAGCGTACCAGTACCAGCTTTAAATAAGTGATTTGATGGAAGCTGTCACTCCTATTTCACCCTAATAATGTTATAGGAAAAATATTTCTTAAACAAAATTAATACTTACTTTTTTTTTATTATATTAAAATTTTTACTTTACTATGTAACGTCTTATGGTTTTGATGTAATTTTTATTCTATTCTAACTAAGAAAAAATAAATAATAAATGGGTGTGCCATAAGTGCACGATGCGCAAAGCGATCCCCACTCTGCCGCCGAGCGCTCAAGATCCGTGCCGGTAACTATGATGAATGAGGAGGTATGTCATTAAAAGAGTGAATATTTAATCTTGCTTTAATTGTGATCTTTCTCATGGTTAATGGTTGAATAAGGTACAAATGGAACAGCGAATTATTGGCATCTCATTTTAATATAAAAAAATTAATCTGTCATAACAAGGATACGATCGTAGTAAATATATATAATATAACGAATATACATATAATGTGCAGCTAACGAAGAACGAAATGAATAGAAATATGATAATATCGACAGGCGAGGGGAGACCGAATGAAAAATAAATAAATCAACTTTAAATAAAACAAATAGGTTAATTTATTTTACAAATTCCTTTGTTATCATATTTCTCTCGTTAAAATATGCTCTTTCTTAATACAAAGATTTATCGATCACGTCACCAACGGAAAGAAACAATAATATTACTGAATAGAAAATATAATATCCGTTTTGAGGGAGCAGTCGAAGTCGAATTGCACGAAGGGGAGAGGGGGCGTCTACTTGGCGTCAATGCACTCGGCGGGGTGCTGCGGCGGCTTGGCGGGCGCGAAGCCGGGCGGCAGCGGGATGCCAGCGTAGGCCACGCCGCCCCAGCCCAGCTTGGGCCCCCACGCGCCGCTCGCACCGCCCACGCCCTGCACGCTCAACTGGTTGAAGCGAGCGAACAGCTCCTGCTGCTGCTGGCTCAGTGCACTCGCGTTATTGCTCACGCCCATATTTTTTCCGAAGTTTACCGATGTGGACATTATGGCTGGATCCATTTGGGTCCAGTCTGAGAACATGGCGCTATTTGAATTATAACCTGAAATAGTAATGTTAATCTATATTTAGTAACGACGTATTCTATTCTATTCATATTTGCCTAGGGAACACCTATATGTATTACAAAATACTACAGAAGGATTATGAGAGAATATTAATGATTTAGATATATATTTTGAAAATCCTCATAAAAATCAAATGGTTTCACTAAAAAAAATGTACGGGATTTGAGCCAACACAGCATAGAAATTCAATTCATTTTAAATATTCTAGCAGTTCAAAAGACCAAAATACTACGCATCTACGATGTCAAAAAAAGGGATTTGAAATATTAAGATTTCTTTTACCTTGATGATGTGTTTGTTGCTGTGGGCGAGGAACTCCTAGTCCAAATGTGTTCATATGTGTGAAGCCGGGCGGTGCGAGGCGAGATCTACGTACACGGTCCATATTGTCACTGGAAATATGAAACATAACATTTCCACTAAGATTGGAATAAAAATGCAACAAATAGGCCAAAAATTCGAGGGTTGGAAAAAATGATAAAAATGAATCGTAATACCAAAAAAAATTTCAAAAAAACAATAATTAATTTTTTAATTTTACCTTTCCAAAAAGATTTTTATTACAACGATTAGAAGTCATCCCCTTTTTTATCACAACTATGTAAAAAAAAAGCGTATGAATTCAGATAATTTTGGACAATGGCACTATTTTGTTTCTGGACAACACGGTTCATATATTGCTAACGCGAATGGATGAATTGTGGATGTACATACAAGCAAACATTTCAAACGTTCAACTACGTGTAAAACTTTCTTCTTAATTTAATTAAAATCTTAAGAATTTAATTGTTACTAAGACACAATTATGTTCCATAACAATATAAAAATGTACTCACCCACTAGGAACTGTGTTTTGCAACATTTCTGTTTCCATAAGTTCTGCGAAAGCTTTTTGTGTTTCCTTGAAGGGATCAAAATCTAAATCATCGTCGCCGTCACCCGCTGCACGACCACCGTTGCCTTCGTTGCCACGTAAATTGTTCATTCTGAAACATTTTACGGAAACCATTAAATTCATTTTCACGCAGTCTTCGCAACATTAAGAATGAAAAACCAAAGTAACATAATTACATATAATTAACAGAACACATAATAATTAAAATAAAAGCAATTTTGACTATTTTGATATTTATTTTCCTCTTAGAATATAATATTACTTTTTTTATGGAAGTGGGGGCAGACGAGCAGACAGGTCACCTGATGGAAAGTGACTACCGCGGTTCATGAACGCCTGCAACTCAGGAGTCACAAGCGCGTTGACAGGCCTTTTAGGAAGGAGTACGTTTTTTTACGCGAAGGTTTGAAGGTCTTATCGGTCCGGTAATACCGCAGACGATAACTTTTTCCACAGATTGGTTGTGTGAGACAAAAAGTGGCTTGAAAAGCGCAGCTTTTCTGATATTGTCCCTTTCCTACATTCCTCTATTTAAATTAAAAAATACACTTATAGGTACAGCAAAGATAATGCATAATATGTACCTTTGTTTGTGTTCCATTTCTAACCGTTCGGCGCTGAGCATGTTCTGGGGGTAGTGGTGCGGCTCGTGGTAACGGCGCTCGTCTGTGTTGTGGCGGAGTTGTCGCAACTGTTGTGCCTGTCGGAAATCCGTGAAGAATTTGTCCATATTTTCAGCTAAATACCGCCCTTCGTTCTGTAAATATTACAAACGTATTATCTCTTCTAAAACATTTTTCTAATCTTTTAAGTAATAAAGTATTTTTTGGTGTTTTTTTGTATTTTTGTCACGTATATTGTATATTATGGCACTGGTATTTTAAAGTTTAAACCCGTTAACCTACTTCATACGACCAATTGTCTTAGGTATATTGCACCTAGTATTGGTGAACTGGGCCAAGAGTCATTGTTTATCTAATTTTTTACTTGCTTTCAATTTGTGTTTTTAAGCCTGCGATTCTCATTGAAAGTTTCTATATATGTGACCATTTTGTACATATAAAGACATACTCATTGTCAATACAAGTGTGAAAGAAAGTCGACCATATAGATTGTATGGGTTTTTAAATAAATCATTAGGAATTAAGCTTTGACTGAAACAATTATCAATCATAACTTTGATGTATCAGAACTGAATTTTCTTTATTTAGAAATGAAGGAGAATAACACATTCATATGTATAGGTGTTTTATAATGATATGGTTAAGTTATTCAAGCTTCCTGAATTCTTATAAAAGTGTATGTAGGTAGTCCTCAATAACATTCATTTACAGTGGCAATTGCTTTATCTATTATTTTTGATATAAAACCGAACAAACATTCTCTGTTAATATGCTCTAAATTGTCTAATTATCTACTTATTAAGCTTATAAATAATAAGTATTAATACTTACAGCGGACTGTGGCGCATCGTATCCATTAACGAGTCCACCTTGCGACATTTGTGGTTGACTCTGCTGCATAAGCCCAGAGTTGTGCAGCAAGAAACCACCGCCCATAGAGCTGGCCCCGACTGTCCCTACTCCACCCACCGAAGACCCCAGGCCGTTGTCTACACGCATACCAAACGGTGGAAGCATATTGGGATTTTGATGAAAATTAGCACCTGCGCAAACATCTGACATTTTACTCCCCGCCTTGAGCTAACAAATGTTATTAAGAGCGGTAACCCGCTCCCGCTCTTCACCTAGCGGTTTAAAAGATACTGATGAAGTTCGGGAGACGAGCGAACTTCGGTGCTGTGTAGAGTATTGTTGGTGTACTCTTACCTAATATTTCACTAGTAGATTCGAGTCCTATTGTAGATGAGGGCATATAGTGTTTAGGCTCGACCATAACGTTGTGTTGCCGCGCCAATAATTCGTTTTGTCTCATAAGCATTTCGCTTTGGCTGCGTTCTCTTAGCAATAATTCCTTTTGGTCCATCAGACCTTGACTAATTTGGCTATGTCTTTCATTACCTAGATAACCCATATCTCTGTCTAGGAGGCCATAACCGTTGAGTATGGGGGATTTCATATGTGGAAGTAAATGATTGTTATCTACTAGTCCGGCCAACATTTCACTGTGCCTCTGCATCATCATAACTTCACTACTTGCGTCAGTTAAAAGATTGTGTGTGTTGTCGTCCTCCAGAAGGCTGTGATCACTATTATCTAGCAAATCGTGGTTTTCTAATAAACTGTGTCTATCCGATTCGAGTTCATCTATTTCATTGGACAAGAAGCTAGAATTATCATTTTCAAAAACGGACGTGTGATTTGTCTGTGTGCTATTGTATTGTTTGGTATCTACTATTTCGGTATCGTTATCATTATTAATACTATTGCTAGATTTTTGTTTGGATTTGTCAGTTTTACTTTTCTTGATACTTTGGCCGTTTGTGCTAGGTTCCTTGCTTCTATTTGTTTTGCTGTCTGTGTGTGTGTCTTTACTCTGTTTATTTTGAGCCTGTTGATGTATTTGTTGTGTAGGACTGGAAGATTCTGATGTGCCGTTTTCTTGTGACTTAACTGGAACAAACACAAATATAATTATTACTACAAGCCATAGTGAACCATAGTCTCCCGCGACCCATGAATCTTGGATTAAGGTGACTGACTAAGGATTATGGCGAAATTCAAAAATAATTTTATTTTTTTCGTGATGCTTTTCGACAGCAATTAGGCCTTTGGAAGTCTATGTAGGTTCAATAAAAAGTGTCAACAAAAAAAAATAAGCCTTACAAAACGTTGTTCGGTCTAATGGGCATAACAACGCTGTTATTGGTATAGAAACGTATATGGTTTGCGTGTAGTATTCGACTTAAGCGACTTCAACATTGAATTTAGCGACTTAAATATAATATAATGATATACATACCCGTAGACTGTTGTGGTTTGGGACTGGGTTGTTTTCTAGCGGGACTATCTGATGGTGGCGAAGAACCGAGGCTTGGCCAGGCTTCTTTACCATTTCCATTGCTACTACCACTACTTGACCCGCTTGAACCATTCACCGACTCTTTTTTATTAGATCTGCAAAGAAGAAGAAATATATTTGCTCTGTTCCAAGCAAGCATTCCATTATTTCTGATGTGCTGATTTCATCACTATCAGACCGCGACGAGGTACGACAGTATTTTTGTGTATAGTTTTGAAGAAATTTTAAATCTATTCCAAGTCTTTCCAGCAGTTCTATCTAACAGACTTCTTAATTATTTATTGAGTATTGTGTCTGTTTTGTCTATTTTTGCAATTTCTTCCTTCGATTTCGAATATTTTAACCTCTAATTCATAGTTTTGCCATATTTTTACTTGTCGCGTATTTTCATTTTGTGATGGTAAATTTGTTTTAAGAAAATAATAAGATACATTGTCTATTACATTTTTAAAACTCGGTTTTAAGAATATTTTGATTATTTTAAACACACTTACAGAAGCCTCCAAAATGAGAATTTCGAAGGAATTGCATAAGACACTTACTCTGAGACCCTGATTTCAAAGTGAATAAGATAATAGATAAAGTTAGAAGCTATTAAAATAAAGAAAGTTTATATATTTACTCACTTAGAAGAATTGACTACATTTATATGTGACGATGTGACCACTGTTGTCGGTATAAAGTTCGATTGATTACCTGAAATTGAGAAAACAATCGTATTAGAATATTCTAGAACATGTTTTCGTTAACTAAATAAAACAGCAAACATTCTTACCATCTTTCGAACTGCTTTTTTCTGCATTCGTACTAGAATTACCTGTAACATTTAATTCAATTCAATTAATTAAAAAAACTTGTTTAAAGTTTGAAATTATTTTTTGTCACAACTAAGTTGACTAACAAGCACCTAATAAAACATTATTATTGTTAATAGTTAGTGACGATAACTGCTAAGGCAGAGGTCCTGAGTTAGATTCCCACGCAGGACAAATACTTGTGTGATGAACACGATCATTTGTTCTATATATTATCTGAGTGTAAGTTATCTAGAATATGTATGTATTTAGAAAAATATATGTATGTTGTTTATGAGCAGTCCGGTTACCACAGTACGTGCTGTGCCTAGTTTGGGTTCAGACAGCAGTGTGTGAGATGCGAGAAATTATTATCATTGTAGGTGCCATCCTCCCTGAAGGGCTCCAAAACTAACTAGACAAAGACATCAACTGACTGCATTAATGTCTTACTAAAAAAATAAAAAACGGGTGTGTTCAATGTTTTGTTTTAATAGGGATCAGCGACAATGCAAGACGTTCTATTTCTAAAATTATATAAATAAAACAAATGTCCAATCAGAAACGGTATCTTATAACGGTAAGATGTACCGTATAGTATTATATTAGCATATTGTGTAAACAAGGATGACGTCAAATTTATATTTCAAGTTATCTGTTCTGGTTTTGTATTGATAATGCTAATTATTGCATTAGAAGATTTTAAAGTGTGATTTTTACACCACATTAAAATATAATTATGGAGAATTATTGTAATGTCAGATTACGACACTATGGTTTAAGAAGTTATTCTGCAGTTTTAACCACAACATCAGCAGATTAAATCCTTATTATACCGACAAGTGTAAATAAAAATATGTGTTTGATCTCAATTAATAGACTCCGATCTACTATTGAGAACTTCATTAACAATTAAACCAACTGTGGACAGAGTACTTCAGTCTCGGCAATGATAATAAAATGTGAACAACGCCAGCTGACCAACATCGTCTGCTTCTATGAAAAGGAATTAATTTTCCCCGTTTCCGCAACATTTTTCACTGATACTGAGCTCCTATTAGTCGTAGCATGATGTAATATAGCCTCCTTTATCGATAGAAGGGCTATTCAACACTAAAGATTTTTTTAATTCGAACCAGTAGTGCCCGAGATTACCCCGAACATACAAACTTTACCTCTTTATAATACTTAGTACAGTTACACGGTCTAAATATGACGGAAACGACAATATACTCCATTCTATTTATATCAACAGTTTGTCTATTATTTTTTTTAATATCTGACAGTTACATAGTGTTTATGAATAACGGTTGTTATAAAATCGATACAAGATACTTATCGTTACATAATTACGATACCGAAAACTATTACTAAATATGAATTCACCGCATTGGCGAGGCGCCAGACTAATTTCAGATTTATTTATTCATATGAGATGTAAGAATGAACTCTTTCACATGTAAGAATAAATCTAAGAAGCTTCTAAAAATAACACTAGAAATTTGTAATAGCAGTTATTTCTAACACTTATTTAAAATAACATGATGTGTGTCTGAATCACATTAGGAAACTACTGTATAGACGAGAATCTGTGGATGCGTAGGCGCAGGTAAAAATTGCTATTGTTAAATGCCTTTAAACTTGACCTACAAGTAGGTATATTCATGTTTACTATTTTTAATTATCTTTAATTCAGGTGATCGGTAATGGAGCGAAAAAGTGACAGTGTGTGTCTGTAAATTTTCTTTAGGTGGAACTTCCATATTTTTTTATCTTAACTCGTATCAAAACAGAATGTGTGCATATAGCAAAACATGTATGTATATAGCAAAACTAAGTATGTCCCGTGGATAGGTAAATTGAAAAAAAATGCGTACGTAATCATGTAATTTTTTCAGTTTGTAGCTAAATAGGAACGTTACAATCTTAACTTGGGACAAAAGTACAGGTTTATGTCTAGTTAGGGAGGGAGAAAGAAGAACTGGGGTAGTGTAATTAGTATGGTAGTGACCTAAACGCAATAGCTAATTCAGGCGCAGCAAAAGCTAATACTCAGCCTAGTGACTACTAGTCAGCCTAGTGATACTAATCAGCCTAGGCTGGCTAGTAGTCGAGTATTAGCTTTTGAAATTTGTAAAAGCAGTTTAACTGCTTTCGCTAGGCTGATGAATGAGTAACTGCAACGCTAATATAGTTGCAGTTACGATTACTGCTAACGAACATACATTAGGTTAGCAGTACTCCTACGATCTAATGCAGGTTGATGATATTTTCTCACTCAGTAATACGAGTAGAAATCCGTTATTTTTCAAAGAAACGTGTGATTACCTGAACTATTGTTATGTTTGTCCTCCGGTTTGTCCTTTTGCGCCTGCAACAGCTGATTGTGAAGCTTTCGCTCGTACACCTGGTGCAGGCCCGCGTGCATCTCTTCTTTCGTAAACGACGCGTGAGGATCACCTGGGGAATCCCATACAAGTTCAGATTACTAGAAGAAGAATATCATTAAAAAATAAGATCATAATAATGAAAACTATCGTTATTAAAGCAATAAATAGAAATATAAAAATTGAGGAAAAATTGGTTAAAAACCCTGGACTCGTAAGTAAAGTTTATATTTTTAAAATCACACTTCACACTAATATTATAAAGGCGAGTTTGTGAAAAAATTGAATTGAATTGAAATATGCGTTGTAGTGTATCTGATATACCGCCGGTATCACTGCGGAGCGCAGCTAGCAATTAAATGAAAAGGCGAGTGCTTTTACGCCCTCCTCAGGACCTTAGATGTATGCAAATATTATCACACTCATGCAACGCGATGATGGAAGGCTGTTAAATTGTTGTTGTTAGACATAGATTATTTTGCAGAGCTTTGATTAGCCCGGCGTTTCAACCAGGTTGCACTGGCTGTGATTACAAGCTGAAATGCCTATTGATTATGTATAGATATTTCACTTTTGTTTTTTGGTAATTTAGGGTGAGTGTAGGTGGTTACCTAGCTCGTGCAGATACATGCAGTCCGCCTTGGGGCAGGGCTGGTTCTTCATGAAGTTGGCGCAGTACTTGGTGGTCCCGAGCGAGCCCTTGAGCACGCGCCCGTCCAGCGTCACGTTGTTCACGCCCTGGATGGCGCGCAACGCGTCCGCCGGGGACACGTACGTCACGTACGCCGACGCGGACGGACCCTGCCAACATACATACCACTACTTTTAAAATAACATAGCTGGTGCAATCATCGCGAAATTAAATTTATTCAAATTTACTGCGATGTAAACTGCTGAACGGACAAACCTCACTCATATTTAAGAATTTATAAAATTAAACTGTCTATTTATACTTCCAAAGTGTGCTTTTTATTAAATCCATTATAACATTTACGCGACGCTTACCTATACAAGAAAATAATATTTTTTCATATTGTTTGCAAAACTCCTGGATTGATTTCCACAAACTTCCACTAGTAGATAATTGAATTTATAAGAAGTGAACAATTTTAGAAAAGAATTAGGATTCCGCAGATTAAATTTATGAAAAATATTACAAACGAGTAAAGCCGCGACGAGCACAATTGGTAAGTAATAAACATCAAAATGATTATATAAATATTGTTATATGAATTTTTAATGATTTGGTGATTATTGAACCTATCAGGAAATATGTAATCATTGAATGAACACAAATATCACATCAGAATAAATATTGGCATTCCTGCTATACGATATAGACTTTTCAGTTACAAAATCATCAAACGTTTGACGATTTTGTAACTGAGATTGCTTCAATATGATAAAATATGATTCTCACCTGTGACCCCGCATACGTGGTACTTTGGTTTATAACTACTTTGTGAATTTTGCCATATTTGCCAAAGTACTCTTGCCGTTTGAGAATCTGTAACAAATGATATAAGACAACTTCATATATTTTGATTTACATTCTAATTCCTTTAATACAATAACAGTTTAATTTCAATGCCCTATTGAGTAGCTTGGTTGGTGACTTGAAGTATAGTCCTTCATGAATGAATTTATTTTAGTGACAACAAAAGTCAGACCAGCCAGTTGTGTGTCGAATACCAACTATCAGATGCAAGATAAATAATGAGAAAATTTAAAATCAAGCGAGGGTAGAACGAAAGAAATGTCGGCACAAATTATTATTATTATTTTTAGAAGTGACGTCATACCTCGGGGTCGGCGAGTCTCACGGGCAGGCCCACGACGAAGACAAGGTTGTTCTGCACAACGCGCACATTGGCGAGCGCGCGCCGCGATTCCAACGTCTTGTTCCGCCGTTTCTGCTCCCGAGCCTTCTTCTCCGTCTTTATTGCTGCCACCTTCAGTAGGAAAATGCAACAACAATTTAAAAAAGTATTTATGGCATTAGGACAAAAATATTCTCAAAGACCTCACAAAAATATTTATTTTCTTGAACATAAAATCCAGCTTTGGAATCATCGAGACTATTCTAAAGCTAAAAATAAAAAGAAGTCAAAGAATAAATTTTTAACATTTTAACATTTACGTGTCATGGAAGTCAGTAAGTCAAAATATTTAACCGTATTTTACCTCTAAAATTGAATAGCTTGGATCTACAAATAAATAAACAGCTGTCTTGGGAGTAATCAGTGAATTGACGAATGATAGAGAAGAATGAAAGAAGAAATGTGATGAAAAGAGACAACATGATGATGATATACGGTCACATGAAGAATTTAAAATCTTACCTTTTATGTGAACTTTTAAAAGTCGGTAGAGATTAGTGTGTGAAGTACGAAAGGATAATTATATTCTTAATATTTGAACAGATAACACTGACTGTATCTAATCACAGAATACATAATATTGAAAGTACAGAGGTTCAACTTAAACCATTTAAATAAATAGCGACTCTCGGTTAGAAACAATAAACCGCAATTCAGGTCGTACAGCACTTTTGACATAGAAGTTGTCTCTCTAAGTCATATCACTTCTGACGTAGTCAGAATCCTTTAGTTTCAATACGAATGCTGAATACCATGCTATATGCTTTTGCTTTGACGACACGACGCAAAGCGTGAACGAATATCGACCTAACACATGCCGATTATCGAACTGTTTTATCACTATCTTTCATCATGGATTGATATATAAATATACTCCTAGGTGGTAGAGGTGTGGTTTGTTTTCAATGTATGTATACAATAAAATATTTACCTGTTCTTGACTGAGCGGAGTGAAATCTGCTGGGTTTTCCGGATAGGCTTTCCGACACGCAGGACATAGGCCGTTCTCTCCTTCCCGGATTCGATTCCAGCAAAACCGACATATCTGAAAGATACGATAAGATCTGTTATTACACACTAAAATAATCTTTCATTATATATTGCCAGCTTGAAAATGAATATAATACTTTCTGTCCCTGTGTTAATTATTTTTCCATTCGTTTTAATTTTTTAATTTTGGTTTTTCGGTCGCTTTGGCCTATTATTTTATTTTGGTATTGATTTTAACATAATATCTAAAAAATCAAGCCAATAACTTCAACACAAAGGTCAAATTTCACATAACGTTTATCCATCAAGACAACGAACGAAGTACCTGAACTTACCATATCTATAAAATTGAACAAATTATGTTACAACGATAAATTCTTGGGTAAAAAAGAATTACAAGTTTAGAACGAACAATATTAAGGAACTCCTTACCGCTACCTATTTATTATAGACTGCATTGCAACCACGCCTTGTGTTATCCATTTAGACGTGAATACCAAAAATACAATTTTTTTAATACTGCTTGATGATAAATAATTATATATGTAGTTAATACATGAAAATAATTATTTGTACGCATTTTAAGAAAATATAGCAGCAAACGGACCATGGTAAAAATTTTACTACTTCTTTAAACAATGTGTCACAAAAAATTACCTAAAACAGGTACCTCAAACTACTCGCGTCGTCAATAAATAGAAAAGAAAAAAATAAACTTAAAGTATGATCGCAATTGTATCAAAAAGTAATGTCAAAGTACTTAATAAATACTGGTATAAATTTAACATCAACTAACTCGATAAATGACTTATAAGGAAAATTATAACTTAAAAAAAAAACCGCTTAATAGGAAGATAAATTAAAATGTTTTGATACAGTCGCAGTCGAACTGGTAGTGCAGTAATCAACGTGTCATCGAAACTCCAACCGGTATTAAAATTTATTGACCTACCTAACCGTTTATTATAATTATCGGTTATATGTAAACCTAACCTAAGCATTCGCTTGACTAAAGATGTAGTGATTGTTAGTAAATGCCAGAATATTTATTTATTATATGTAGGTATAATTCATTATTGAAATACATAATTATTGAACACTACAAAATTTTATAAACCTCAGCACATTGTAGTAGCATTAATTAGATTTATGTGCATGTAAACTTAAATTTACATTGACAGATAAATATATTTAAATTTATATTAAATATATTTATTTGTAGGAAACAATTAAATATATTTAAAATAATATAAATTTAAATATATTTTTATTCATATTTTGTCTACTTGTATCCTCCTTTATATTTTAATTCTAAATACTCTATTATGTGTCGTCGAATTTAATATCGCATTAATTTTAGTCAAAATGTTTCATAATATTGGATAATAATTCTTTGATAACATTGTATGAATTGTTATGACTGGCCTGTTGGCCTAGTAATTAATGATCCTGACTGCTAAGCCAGAGGTCGTGTGTTCGGTTCCTACCCAGGACAAATAATTGTGTGATGAGCACGATCATTTGGTCTGTGCCTGGGTGCTATTTATCTATAATATGTTTGTATTTAGAAATATTTAAGAATTTTATCGGTAATCTGGTTACCATAACACAGGCTCTGTCTGGTTTAGGATCAGATAATTGAATATTAGGGTTTTGTTTAATATATTTGCATTCAAAATAGAGAAAGATTATTGTCAAACTTTACAATGACAAAGAAGAAATTTTAAATGATAATATGTTTGTACCTATATCCATATTAAATAATTTTAATTGATGATATAATCTTGGTGAAAATTATAACCTTGTTTATAATTATTATCTTTATCTAATTGATATCATACTTTTAAAAAACAAGTTGACTGATAATATACTTTCTTATTAACATCAGTCAATCGTGTAAATAAAATTTTATTATCATTAAGATGTATTAATTTTGCTGTCCTTGATTATATGGCGTTGAGGCAGGTCAAGATGATATTGGTTTATCAATATGTTTTACTTATTGATTAATGACAGATTAATAATAAAGAGATCTTAATTAGATAGAAAAACAAATATGAACTATAAACCAAATTACGTACACATTTATTAGCGATCAGTGGCAGCCAGCACATTAATTGTTTTTGTATAATAATTTGTTAATTAAACAAAAACAATGAAAAATGGCAAAATAATGGCGCATACCACTCTCTTTTCCACTATTTGTGGTCACACACAACTTTTCTAAAGCCGCGCCAGAGAAAGGAACTAAAGATTACCCTGTTCCATAGTTGATTTTAGTCGTCACTGGGAGGTACCCAGTGAGGCCTAAAATCAACTCTCCCTAGTGGGGGAGGGTTAGCTGATTTTAGTTTATTTACCAATACCGGTTGGGTTAAGAAATTGTATCTCTACTACTATCACAAGTTACTAAGAAATACTTCACTTTTCGTAAAATTATAGAAAACTTTAAATGTCATTGTATAAATTGACTGTCATTTTAACAGTCGAGATACTTAGATATTATCCCTGTCACTAGCGATAAATGGAAAAAATCAACTATCCCTACAAAGTGTCATGGGCGACTTGCAGCGGCGGTGAGAAACGTATTAAAGTATACGTTAAGAGAACAATGGTGTTAATAGATTAAAATTTGAGCATACTTGGTATCCACATGTGCACGGATAGAAGTGAAGATCGTCCACCTCCAGGGGTTCCATACACAGGGGACATTCCACCTGCAACACACATAACTACATGTTAGACATAAAACAGTGTACTTTTATAATCCTTTATTTTTATGGCACATATCTCTCAGTATACTAAAAAAAAGTAAAAAGGAATTTGCTTAAACATTTAGGACCCGTTCCGAAATAAATCGCCACTGTACAATTTGCATCAAATCACAGATTTTTTTTCCACCAGTGCAGAATTTTGCGAAAAAACGCGCGGTGAATTATCGCTGTGCGGACGGACCCTTAGAGACATATCAATGAAATACGAAGCCCGTAATCCAACAACAGTTAATTGTTAAAATATTTGTAAAAGGGATAGTATTATATGAATTTTAACCCCAGCACTCATCTGGAGTGTTTGAAAAGCTAGAAAGTGACAGATTGTTTTATCTTGGAACTGCAGTGACCGCTTTCTATCAGGTATTTCAGGCTTGATAGATAGTAAATCAATCCTTATGATTTACCTGCTCTTCTCCACTCTGATTCAACACTGACATTCTAGCCCCAGGAGCCAATAGTTCAGTTCCCTCCAGTTAACGGCAAATTAGCGTCAGTTTGCGCTAGTATAATATTCTACTGCAACCTGTAAAGAAAAACATTAACCTCTTGAAATTTATCATGTTGTATAGCACGAAAATTAATGGACTTAAAAACTAAGTATATATGTAAGAATAACTGATTTTCTGAGAATAACCATTAAACGATAAACCTAATACAGTATATAATAGGCAAGTGGTTTACCTATCTCAAAATGTTTGACTGGCTTGTTGGTTTAGTGGTTAGCGACTTTGACTACAATGGCAGAGGTTGTGTGTTCGTTGCCCACCCAGGAGAAATAATTGTGTGATGAGATCGATTAATTCTATATCAGGATGTAATTTATCTACGATATGTATGTATTTATAAATAATACCAATATAATGAATATCAGTCTGGTTATCATAGCATTACATATGATGTTTTAATGATTCACGCATAAATAAATGCAATTTGCCAAAAGTTCATTCATTTCGGACCAATTCTAATCTATATTGCAGAGCAATTAAGACTCGAGGTCGGGATAAAAATGGTACTAAAATTTTATCCATGTAATTTAAAGTAGATTTAATGCCTAGTGTTTTTAAATTTCTGCACTGTATGACACCAGTCACATAAAATACTGACCATGTTAATATAAGACAGACTTAACTCTGCTCACTGGTAATATTTTACACAGAATTCTGCTGACCACTTAGCAATGTGTTAGTTAATCCCGACGAATAACGTAACGTGTTATGATATTCATTTGACATTCTTCATACAAACAAACTAAATTAAAAATTCCAATTTCTTATCAAACATAAATCATGTTATATCTTATTTCTGCACTTATCACGATAGCGATAAATTCTAATATCGAAGCACCTTCATATATAATTCTTAATAAATGAATGCCATCTGATCTCAATACGCCAAAAGAAAAGGATTCGAATTTTACGTCTTCAAATAAAATCTAATAAACTAAATAAACTATATTTGATTCAAATCGTGTAAAAAAACCTACTTATATATAAACAAACACCTATATATATAATGATAATAATAATACATGATGTCCCTAGTCTAGTAGAGGTCTGTCTGGTCCCTGTAAACGATGTCGGTGGTATACTGTATTTTATATTTTTAAATGATTTTTTCGCTCTTTTGTTTATTTCAAAATGTATTTATTATTTCAAAATATAATAAAGAGAATAATAATAATAACCTCACACATCTCACACACGGCCGTCTGTTGCCAAATTAGGCAGACCCCGTGCTATGGTAACCAGATTGCTGATAAGCATACTTATATATTTCTAAATACATACATATCATAGATAAATTACACCCAGACACAGACTAAATTAATAGTGCTCATCACACAAATATTTGTTCTAGGTGGGAATAGAACCGACGACCTTTGGCTTAGCAGTTAGGATTACTAACTGCTAAGCCAACAGACCAGTCAAATAAGTAAAAAAATATGTACTACCAATTAAATATACATATTATAATTATACACATATCACGGCAAGCAAAATTTTAAAAGTAAGTGAAAATAAAAAAACTTTTTAATGTAATTAGTATCACGTCTCCTAAGATATTCTTCGGTATGGGAATACACACAGAGATCATCTAGTCTGTTTATCCAAAAAGTGTAAAGGTATAGATGAAGCTAAAAAGTCTCGAGTGTTCAGTATCAAGCATAAGTTCTGTATAAGTCCGATGGCCTAGCCTATTGCAGTGTAACTTAGTAACGAGATGTTATCCGTTGAAAACCAACCCTACAATTCTCCTCCTTGGCGAAAATTCATATATTAAAAAATAAAATCCTAGATAAAGTTAGAATACGATTTTACGCATACAAAAATATAGATAAAACAGGGAACAAGGAAATTTAAAATTACATTTTAATAAACCTTTTTTTTTTAATTTAACAAGATATTTATTGAAGACCAGGGGCTAAATGTCCGTGTGACGAATTAAGAATACGGAGTGTCACAACCCCTATTTATCCCGTGGGTGTCGTAAGAGCCGACTAAGGGAGGCGAAATTACGCAGGACAACAGCAGTGCAAAGAGAAGGAAAACTTGACACAAACCCTATACCAACCCGTATGGCCAGCATAGTATAATAGGCCATAACCTCGTTTCCAAGGAGAGGCCTATGTCCAGGATTAGACTATTCAAGGCTGTTGATGATGATGATGATGATGAGGGGCTAATTTGAACCCTAGTGCAAAATAGACATGCTAAAGAGCTTGGAACAGTAGTTTTATAAAATGGTCTTTCGAGTCAAAATTGGCAAAAAGACAAAAGTCAAATGTATCATCAGTAAGAAAAACAATATACATAAAAAGAAAAAGATATCACAAAATGGCTTCCGTAAAATGGTGCCCCTAAAATAAAGTCGCATATATATTCTTTATTAATGTTCAACGTAACTTTAACAATGTGAATTCTTAATTTTTGCCTAAGCTCTTCCGCTACGGCGAAAACTTCCTGCAATATTAATACGGCTACGAAGTGTTCTATCTCATTTACAGTTATTTTTAAAATACCAGTTTCTATGTAGATGTATTGATGTTTATAAAAACGAGCTGAGTATGCAGTACTTCAAACTGGTATGGAAAAGTGGGCTAAAGTGTGGCGCAGCAAGTGTAATTAAACTGGTTAAAAGTTTACACACTATGGTGAAAGGTCATCTACCCATCTTCTATGAGAACTATGGCTTGTATCAAACCACTCTCACTATTTGCACAAACATCTGTATTTCGTAATAGTTTTTATATTTCATTTAGCAAATACTTGTTAAACCTTAAAATTCCACATATATTTAATCGATCAAATGTAAAGAAATTTTAAATGGATAAACTTTCAATCACGGTACGATTAAAATTTTGGATAATAATTTTATCCCTAAAAGTGAAAACCGTAATATTAATTTATTTCCTATTTCTTTTAATGTAAAAAATTGTTTTCTATCATCATAGCAACACAATTACAAACTGCATTTAAAATACAAAAGAGAAAACTTCCCTAAACGAAATGTAGCTCAACACACGAAATAAAAATAAATTATTTATATGTAGATGTCCTTTGTGATGCGGGCTAGAAAATGATAATATTTTTTAGGATTTTTTTATACTCGATGTTGTGGCAAACGGAATAAAAACTAAAAATGGCACGGAATTTTTCACAATGCATGACTAAAAATGATCGTATAAAAATTTAGTTGCCTTTGCTAATTCGGATAGAGCCAGGATACGGCCCAGGTACCTTGGTGAGGTGAACATTTATTGTATTTTGTATGAAAATCTAAAGAAATCCCTGTCTAACAGAGATTATCCCTCAAAATCTTGATAATAAACATTGCCAAAAAGGTTAAACAAACAACAAAACCTTTCACCAAAAAAAAAACCAATGGATCGAAAAATCTACTTTTATCGGGAGCGAGGCTGTGAGCAAAAAAAGCTACTATAGTTGACTCAGTAATAAGTAAGTCAAATTTAATTACATAATATAACTAACGAAAACCGCTGTAATACGCTTGTAATACTTTTTACAATTTACACATTCTAATCTCATTAAGTTGCCAAACAAGCACGCGGCTTGACAGTTAATAAACAGTTACTGTGGCCATCTCCAGATTGTTAATTGCTGGATTTGCAAAAAAAATTATTTGGCTAACTTCTTTTTTATCCAACTGCTAAAAACAAGTGTTTAAGTTACGATTGAATGTACGTTGTTTGTTGTCATTGCAGATTAAAAAAAAAGTCTTAAGAAACATGGCTCAAAATCAGTTGTCGTCGTCTAGTCGTTTTTACACTCTTTGGCATACACAATGCTTTTCGCAAAATATGGTAGCGATATCCCCAGCCTATCGTTGCAAAATATGCTCTCTAAAATTCAATGTATAATTATAACGTCTAGCTTATCATGAGAAAAAAAGCGCATGTTGGTAATTAATAATTTGTGTTTACAAAATCCATAATATTTTATTATGCAAACATGGTTTATCATAAGTCGTCACTGATATTAGAGATATGTCGATAAGGCGAACCACTGAATTAAGTAACGATAAAAATAAGTTTCCTAGTCTCAAATCTATTGAGTACACACATCGTGATTACTGCTAGCGAGCTACTAGTAGTAATAACAATAATGGCCACATGTTGATTTGTTTATAAAAACTGAATATTTATATTGAATTAATTACACGTATTATTGGAAATTGAAGGATTATAACGGCACGTATTCTTTTCTTGACGTTGCCACCGAATTGAACATACACTTAAAAATAAGAGAATTATGATAGGAATATACACGGTATAAGGGACGTCGTAACGAATACTGAAATAGTGTATTCAGACCATCATTGTGAGTCAAAAATCATTGGAATTTTCTGCCGGAAAATTAAACTTTTTGTGCAATCAGTTGTGAAAGGTTAAGGTCATTCCCCATAGGTATCGCACAAAAGTAATAACTACATGTGTATTCCGTACACACAGTCTACGCACACTAACACAAAATAGCGGCCGGAGGGCAGACCCGCGTTCCTCGGCTGTTTGATTATTTCCATTGCAGTTTTTTGGTATTTATTAAATTGTTTTCGGTAAAATGTTCTGTCTACTCATTGTGATATCATTTTTAACCAGAATAACGGAAAAAAAATGATGAATTTTCCGGCAGAAAATGTTAATGATTTCGACTCAGAATCATGGTCTGAATACACTATTTCAGTATTGGGTACGATATCTCTTACACCTTGTATATCTATTAGAATACTTGTTTAGCATAAAAATCCTTTAGACTAACAATAAGAAGGCCAATTTCAAATAAGATCATTGTGGAGATGGAAAGGGGTTAAGGGCATATCTCGAGCCACTTGACATAGATTTACTCTTTTCCAGACAGGTTATGAAATAAATGGTTAATTAGGAGGCTGTACATGCTAGACGGACTGCCGTGGAAAATACACTGTGGAGAGAAAAGGCCCACTTTTTTTAACGTGATTGTTTCTACACTAATTGAAAACATAGTGGTCTTAGTTTTCAATTGTGCA